GAAAACATAACAAACATTAACATGCGAGCCTGATCTAGAGGCACAGTAGAGTACAAAGGTACATAAAAGTCACATATAGTAGAAAGAAAACAGAAGAACAGCACATGCGTGGTAGAAAAGAAAACACACGAGCATAGTATAAACAAACACACATAAAGAAAGAGAAGAATCAAACAGATGTTTTTGAAAAACCTTTCAGAAACCCTAAATCGAAGGTAAACGATTTTAAAAGGAAAGTCTAGGGAAAACCTCTTAAATGTCAAGTAAAGCATAGATACAACATAGATCTAAGCAAACAAACAGAGAAAGAACCTCGAATAGCTTGGGGTTTCAGAGAAACCCTAGAAATGAGAAAGGCTTGGAAGAAGGTCCGATCTAAGTCGGATGAGGTCAGAAACAGGCTTAGAAGACCAAGAGCCGCCGGAGCAAGGTTGGAGATGGCTGGAATCTTCGAATCGGTGAAAGTCTGAGTGCAAACCTTCGAGGTCTGGCCTCAATTTCTCAGGTATCAGGCGTGTAAGAGCGAGGGGAGGTGAGTATAGGTCGTCCATGGCTTGAGAGGCCATGGATTCCGGTGAGTCGGAGGTTGAAGATGAGGTGATAGAGGTTAGGGTTTTAGGAACATTCGAGAGCGTTTGAGAGAGGGAGAGCATTCAAGGGCGGCTGACAGAACGAAGTGGGGGGATTAGGGTAGGGTTAGGTGAATTAAATAAGGAAATGGGCGATCGTGGCCATTGATCAAAAGGATCAACGGCCAGGATTAAAAGAAACCGGGCGGGTCGGATAAATGGGTAAAGGGGTTGGATTAAATCTGAATTGGGCCAGTCCAATTTTAATTCAGAATTGGGTCAATTTTTAGGCTAAAATTGAAAAGAAATGGGGCTAGATGCTAAATAGCCAGTTTTTCCTTTTTATTTATAAAAAATAGTAAAATGATTTTTTTTAAACAAATTAAAAGCACTATACTAATTAATAATATATAAACATTAATCTAAAAATGCTGAAAATGATTTTGTGATTGCAAAACGCTATTAATCGTAATATAGGCCATAATTGCAATTTTATGTAATTTAGCTTAAAAAATATCAAATGAATTTTTAAAAAATATGCAAAAATTACGTTAATTATATTTTGGTGTAACTATGAGGATAGAAATAAATTATTCACCAAAATGATAATTTCGGAAATAATTATTGGATTTTGTACTGTTAAAAATAGACAATAAATTGGTTTTGAAAATCTTTAAAAATTTGGAAAAAATACCAACATACTTGGTCATGCTTATATATGCATACACATGCTATTTTGAAAGTATTTTCAGTATAAAATATATATATAAGGAAAAATTGGGTACACACAGTTGAATCAATTTTCTCAAAGAAAACAATTATGTCGTTAGCTTTAGATCCTTCAAAAGATTCTAGATCTACTTATTGTCGTAAACAGAAGTCTCTCGGTCTCCTATGTTCCAATTTTTTGAGCTTATACAATCGGGAAGGTATTGAAACCATGGGGCTTGATGATGGTGCACGGAGATTCGGGGTGGAAAGACGGCGGATCTATGATATCGTGAATACCGTCCCTGCCAATTAAAAAAATTGAGATAGGGATGTTGTAGGATGATTTTCTGTTAATATATGTCAATGTATTTTCATGTATTTTATTGTATTCATTGTCTTTTTTTCATTGTAATTCAATGTATCTCATTGTATTTCATGTATTTCATTGTATTCACTGTCTTTTTTTTCTCATTGTATTTTAATGTATCCCGCAGTATTTTATGTATTTCATTATATTCACTATCTCGCTATATGCCATGAATGTATTCATAAGTTTTTTTAATTAATATAATTTATGTATTCAGATGTATTATATAATTTCTCTGAAGATTGCTATATTTTGGGGTATTTTTCGGTTGAGAATCTTTTTTGTAACTGAAAATACAAAATTTATGTATTATAATTGAGTTTGTTGAGTTATATTAGGAGTCTATTATATTAATTGATTTACTTTTCCTTTTAAAAACAATATCATCACCTATTTCACGCCGTGAATACAGTCGAATACAAGCGAATATAATAATCTGTCCAGCTATAATCCCATGTTTCACTCCATGAATACAATCGAATACATTCGAATACAGCAATTGATTAGCTGGACTTCCTTGTTTCATACTTATTTTTGCTACTGTATTCATGAATACAAGAGTTTAAATACATCAAATATATTTTATAACCACATAAAAGATATCTATAATCCGTAATATAACAAATAATATCTATAAATGACTTATTAAAATTAAAAGATAGTTGTTTATGAATATATTTAAACTTGAAAAAGCCTTTGTTCCTCCCGGAGCATAAAAAGAGGGGACACCACCAGCTGCGGTCCCCAAAATACGATCATCGATTAAAAGACGTGCCGAATAATTTTAAATTCCCAAAATACCCTTTTTTAGATTCCCGCGCAATATAGGTATAGATACGAAATATTAATTTACTTATCATCCGATAAAAAAAATAATCAGATATGCTCAGTTGAAATGACGACGATCACCATCATGATCACTCATTGATACTTGGGCCCTACCTCTTCCCTTTGTAGGTCCCACTTTTCTGCTTACACTTTTAAGAATCCATCTGTCCTCCATTACCACCTCCCTATAGCTAAAGCAAACTCCCTATTCAAATTTTGTACCTATTCAAAATTTTTACTCATCTTATGTGATAATTTGTGCATATAAATACCCTTTACTCCACTGTCACTCTTCTTAGTTTTCTTCTCAGCTCCTCCTCTCCAAAATGCCCCATTATTACCTTCACCGCCGGCCGGTTACTCCGGTGCCGGCAATATTTTGTTTTCTCGGAGTTTTTTTATTCTTTTTCTTGGGCCCTTTGCCTGTTAATGGGTGGCGTCCATGGCCCAACCAAAAGCCCAACGCCACCGAGTTAATCTACGGCGGGTCTAAAAAATATGAGGGCTCGTCGGAGTTTGTCCATTTGAAGTATCATATGGGCCCTGTTCTCACTGCAAATATTACCGTTTATCCCATTTGGTACGGACGGTGGGGAAAGTCCCAGAAGCGTATTATACGCGATTTCATCAGCTCATTCTCTGCCTACGATTCTAAGCCGCCTTCCGTTGCCGGTTGGTGGAAAACGGTCCAGCTTTACACTGATCAGACCGGAGCCAATATCTCCCGTAATGTCCACCTCGGCGAAGAGAAAAACGACCGGTTTTACTCTCACGGTAAATCCTTAACCCGGTTAACTGTACAGTCAGTGATAAAATCCGCCGTTACAGCTCGTACCCGACCGTTACCGTTAAACCCGAAAAGTGGCGTCTACTTATTGCTCACTTCTGATGACGTGTACGTTCAGGATTTGTGCCAAAACGTTTGCGGATTCCATTACTTCACTTTCCCGTCCATCGTCGGGTACACTTTGCCGTACGCTTGGGTGGGTAACTCCGCCAAGCTTTGTCCGGGTACTTGTGCGTACCCGTTTTCCGTACCGAATTACATGCCGGGTTTTAAAGCCGTGAAGTCACCCAACAACGACGTTGGAGTTGACGGAATGATAAGCGTGATAGCTCATGAGATTGCTGAGCTATCAACGAACCCGTTAGTAAACGCGTGGTATGCGGGTCAGGACCCGAGTTTTCCGGTGGAAATAGCGGATCTTTGTGAAGGGATTTACGGTACCGGCGGCGGCGGGTCGTACACCGGACAAATGATGAACGATAAAGAGGGTGCCACGTATAATATGAATGGGTTAAGAAGAAAGTTTTTGGTTCAGTGGGTTTGGAACCATATTCTGAATTATTGCACTGGCCCTAATGCACTTGATCAGTAAATGTTTCATTTACCACTCAAATCACTGTATGTGCTTTTCTTAAGCATTTTGGTTTGTCGATTTTTTTTTTCTTTTTTTTTTCAACTTTATTTTTAAATTTTGGTTAATTTCGAGTTGCTGATGCATGTTAATTAAGCTTTGGTTATTATAAGTATAGTGTAATAAAAGTAGTTTATATGTACTGTAGTAATTTTGTATACAAAGTTACTTTGTTCAGTTGTCCAAATTTTGAATGGATTTGTACTTTGTAGGGGCTCTCTTTGGACATACTTTACTGTACTATCACATTCCCCCTTACAGAATTCAAAATAATGAGTTCTGTGAAAGTTGGCAGTGTTTATCTTGGAGAAATATAGAAAACAGAGAGCATAGTGCCAATTAAAGAAGATGTGGGGACTTTTTTTTAAAGAAAATTGGGCATTTGTGGTTTTTACCTTTCATCTTCCTTTTGTAAATTTAAAATGATTTTTAAAAAAATAAGAATTTTGGTCTCGGGTTCGAGTCCGGAAAATGCTACTAATATTTACACAAGAGTAGGTTGTCTATTCTTGATGATCAGTACTCCTCAGGTCATACGAAATATTTTGTATGTTCTTTTTCTATGGTCATGCAATTATCAAGCTCTATCATTAGCTCTCTTTAGTTTTTCTTTTCTCAATTTACAAGGAGAAAAGTGCATGACAAAGTACTTTTTTATTTTTAGGAGGGGAACGCTACAATCTCTGTCATAGCTTCTGCCCTTTGGTTGAGCACTCTATGGTAAGCACTTTGTATGCACTGAATAAATCTCCCCCTGTGTAATAGCATGCAAACCATATCAGGGATGTAAACCGTAGTAGGCAAGCCTAGGGGTGGACATCGGTCGGTTCGGTTGGGTTATGGATATTATCGATTTAGCATATCGGTTATCGGTTTACAAATTTGATAAATCGATAACCGAATCGATAAGATATCGGTTATCGGATATTGGTTGTCGATCATTATCGGTTCGGTTATGGGTTAACCCAATAAGATAACTCAATCTAGAGTTAAATAAAAAAGAAAAGACAATTCATCGGAGTTAAGCAAAAAGAGAGAATTCACGTATAGCATACTAAAGACTTATGCTAGGAGTAACTAGTAAGGTCTATGAAGAATGAAGATGAAATCTAAAGAGTGGGGTTGAGAAAGAATTGTAGAGAATGAACTGAAACCCTAGCATTTGTATATACTTAAGGATAAAGTCGTAATTTTATTAATTCTTATTGGGTTATCGGTTAACCCATTAACAAAATTGGCAAACTGAGGCCCGAACCGATAACCCAATAGTAAAAAAATTTTAAACCATTATCAAACTGTTAATCCAGTAATTCGATACCGATAATTCAATAAAAAATTAACGGTTCGGATTATCAGTTTTACCCGATATATGCCCAGTCTTAAGCAAACCTTATACGACAGGCTCTACCCAAAAAATATTGAGGAGGGATTCAATTCAGGCCATCTGTATGAATTACCCCCTCCAAACCAATAGGTAACCCCGAAGGGTCTAAAACAAGTACTTTATTTGAATACTACTTCAGTCGCACAACCTTTTGTTATTCTCGAATTAAACATTTTACTAGTACATACTAGCGCTATTTAACCTTCTGTTATTCTTAAACATTGTACTAGTGCTACTTCACTTTTGTTATAGTAGACAAACGTTAGTACCTTTTTTCAGCAAGCATAAGAGTTTATAAAAATAATTTATAAAACTCACATACTATGTTCACTAAAATTAAACGGCGTAAAATAAACTTTAATATTTTCCAATAGTATTAATTCAAATTAAAGCTAGATTCTCTCTGTCCCAAATAATTCTTTCTTCTCGCGTTTTGACAGTAAAATAAATAGACTCAATTTATTAGAAAAGTTCCCTATCACTTTAATATGGAAAATTTAATAATTGCCTGTCATTGTAATTTCTTTTACTTGTGTCAGATTTATAGCCCGTTTGACCAAGCTGCAACAATTAACTTATTTTAAAAAGTATTTTTTTTCAAAAGTACTTTTCTGGTAAGAAGCAGTTTGTGTTTGGCTAATTAGTTTAAAAAATACTTCTAAGCAGCAATTAATGTTTGGTCAAGTTTTAAGAAAATGCTTTTAAGTGTATTTTTCTCAAAAATATTTCTCAAAAAAGTGCTTTTGGAGATAAATTATTTTTTTCTGCTTCTCCAAAACTGCTTCTTCTCAAAAGCACTTTTTTTTTCCTTCCAAAAGTTTGGCTCAACACCTCAATTTTTGGCCAAAAGTACTTTTGGCAAAAAAAAAAAAAAAAAATACTTTTGGCCAAAAAAAAACTTAGCCAAACAAGCTATTAATCTCATAAGATGGTCATGACCCCCTCCCTGCTCCCCCATAAAAAAAAATAAAAAATAAAAAAGGAAAAGATATGATGAAATTTCATCTTCTTTCTTCTATTTATTAACATAAAAAAAGTTAACATGTAAATCTCTTCCTAGTTGCCATTCATAAAGTGGATTTTCGTTGGGGTGTGGCCTGCCAAATGGAAGAAATGCTAAATAACCAATGCATAACCAATGCATGTCATCCAAATTCCAAGCAAGGCAACTCTTGGCTCAAGTTGACGGAACAATTTGTGGATTGCGTTGATTACTTGTGAGAAAAACAAAATCCAGCCTATTCGTTTTAGCTTTTGTTAATTTTAAGTCTGAAACTCTCCCACTGAAGTTGACTGAAAGGTAATTTTGGCAGGATTCAACTTATATGTATTGATAGCACAATTGAGTTTTATATTATCTTCTCATTTTAAGTTGTTATAGTACGATCTTTTTTTAAAACTTTATATTACTATATTAAATTTATCATAAAACTGTTTATCCGTAAAACAATATAGTTGAATTTGTAACGTGGTTTATAGACAAGTGAATCGATTTGATTCAAAAATACAAAATGAATAAGAACAGAAATAAGATTATGAAATAAAATTAAAGAAAATACAACTCTGGCAAAGTGTTTAGCTTCTCCGATAGTAGTGACAAGAATAAAATTAAAAATAAAGAAAGCTGTTCTATAGAATGAGGACAGATTAAGGCTTTGTGTACCGAATATTTCGTATCTACAATAGATGTTAATTCTCCTATTTATAGCTTTATTTAGGGAGACAAGATCCCTAAATCAAGCTCCTCTTGAATGAGAATAAAACTGTCATTGATGGCCACATAACGACTGGCTATAAATGCAGATACTCTGTAACAGTCGCTCACTAAATGCTACCCGATGTCAATACTTTGAACCTTTGTCACCTGCTACTCAATCTTCGAGATTCATTAAATACCAGTCACATGCTTGCAATCGGTATAGATTATTTGTTGACTCACACCCTACATGTCTTCAACTCTTCGCGTTAACTCTTCATTCGTCCATCTGCCACTAATCAATTTTACCGTATACATAGTCCCCCTACTTTTCGGTGACAATACTTTAGTGTCATCGAAAAGTGGAGAAAACCTCTTTCCTTAGCAGGCAAGTTTCTGAACAGTTTCCAACATTTGAAAGTACGCACGTCTCTCCGCATTTAATGATCCGAACACGTATTACCTCACGATTTGAAAAATATTTTTGCCAGTTCTCGAGGTAATCATGACCACGATTTTGCCGTCTATAACTTCTCCACTACTCCTCATTTTTAGTTTTTACTTTTTACAACTTCTTCTTCTCTGATTTATGTTAGAATTCTACTACAAACTTCAACTTTTCCAGTAAATTTTTTCTTCATAAATTTCTTACCATCATTTCTTCTAACACTGTTGCCTTCAGAAACTCTGGTCTTCTCTGCGATGGAGGTCCAAAGAAGAACATAACAAAAAAGGTTGATGTTTTTGTCTGAACCTCCTACCGTAAACACCATCATACATCTTCACCTTAGCACAATATCTGATCTTCAAGAACAAATAGTACCTGCAAATTTTAAAAGTGACAGACACTGGCCTGTTTGTAGGTATCCTTCTTCCATTCATCCTCCTAGCATCCCTGTCATGAAAGAGGATTGTAATTAGAATAATATTGAAATTCTCACACCTAATGATGTAGAAAGAGTCAACTTCTCCAAACCGGGGTTCATGTATGTTCATACATACCATTTTACTTTGGGCCCCTTGACTTTGGAGTGGGTGAAGGAATCAACCCAATAATCCTGAAATTCTGTCACCGGTACCTGATGTGTTTGGCACAAGTAGGCCCATCTATATGGTGTACTGTGGCTTGCTTCCGTCAATTGTGTTTTGAGGCCGGGGAAACTCTGATTCTTGGACACATGATGAATCTTTATTCCCAAAAGATCTTCCATGGGGGTGTGCTAAAACTTAGCAGACGTGATCATCATGCCCTTCTCACTAGCTTCGATGATGACAACGATCGTGGATGGATGGAACGGTTAGTTAGCATTGCTACATGGGATATCTTCTCAACCACAACACCTACTTTTCCTGAATCGTGGAACCTTTTCCGTAAGTCTTCTAATATCTTTTTCCTTTCCATGTTTTAAAAACACCTTCTTTCGCTACTAACTTTATGCTTTCCTTATTCCAGCTACTCCTTGGAAGCCATCACGGGTTCAAAATCTGGCCCAATGAGTTCTAAAAAATTCTGGATATCACTACACCAGAATCTCGAAGATGGAAAGAAATGGCTCCCAAATATGGGAGGAAAGCCAAAAACCATGGTAAACAAAAATTCTTCTTTCCTTCTTTCAATATACCTTGGGAAATAATTTATCTGCTTTCTTGTATCACACATGACTTTCGAAGGGATCTGTCATTTGCCCCGACATCGAGGCTCTCGATGACCCGGTGAAAGCCGAACTATTATTGTAGAATGTCCTTAACCAGAGGAGAGCTCGCGATTTTACTCGCACTTCCGATGAGGGTACCTCTTCCTGGAGTCCTTAGCCCAAGGATAAGAAACCAAAGAAAAAATGTACCTCATCGGCTGAGACTCAAGGGAAAAATTTGAAGAAAGAACCACCCGAACTAACCACAGTGATACTCGATGATGATGGAGCCAATGATGAAGAGGCTTCTCTTCAGAGAAGAAAAAAATCTTCATCAACTCAACTGGATACTCAACCGGCTGAGCTTCAAACTCCACCACCAGAAGAAGTTCAAGAACTCTTGGTAGAAATGAAAATGGCTGAAAATGTTTCTTCCCATTTTCGAATCCCCGTAGTTGTTCCTGGTCACAGGAGTTCAACCCCTGAACTCCCTCCACTTTCAACTTCTAAAACTGTCGTCATCACATCTCCTTCTCCCCCAGATGCTATCTCTTCACCGTCTCCAATCGAGCAAATAACAAATTTTC